TTTCCATTGATACTATATATAGGAATGATCATCAATTAAAAAAATATTCATAATAAATTCAGATTATACAGTATTTTAATGTTGCATTCTGACATGTTATCCTGTTCCTTACTCAAATTAATGCAAATACCAAATACAATATTTTTTACTGATGTAAAATAATTAGCTGAATAAATTTTGATTGGCTCAAATTTTGAGATGCATTAAGTTTAAAATAAAGACAAGAATAATTGATTTAAATTACAATAAATAGACATTTGAATATATATTCTACTATTCTACTTCCCTACTAGCATTTAATAAAATGCAATAACTGTAACTTTGAATGTAATTACCTTGTGATCCCCCATGCAGACATTTGGCCCAATATGGTCATATATCACTATCTTCTCATCATTTTCTGACTAGTTTTAAAAACAAAGAAACAATCAGTTAAGGTATTCTTCAGATTACAAAGAAGATCAAATAATAAAACTGTACACATGAGTGGAACTCCAACAAGAAAATGCTATGAGGTTTCTGAAGGAGGGTATGTTAAAGCGCTCTTCCTGGGCTCTTCAGGACAATTATTTCATTGCAAATTTTATGTTTAATATTCATTGTGAAGATCTGTGGGATTTTCCAGATAAAATAATGCCCATAATCTCCATAGCTATTATTTCTTTCCAAGTCTTATGAACTTTTAGTGCCTATGACGACAAAACTAGTGACTCAGTCACAGGTACGTTCAAACCTTTTGTCAGTGAAATGCAGCACAGTTTCAGCGTAGTCCTTTCTCATGAACAACACTATACATAAACATTGCTCTCAGAGCAGTATGTTATTCATAGTTTCATAAAAATACCTTTTTAATCCACACAGTATTATTTTGAATGCAGATATATTAATTGATTTTTATAGTTCACATTATTGTTGTTTATTTTTATGCTTTTATATTTATTTTCATGCCCAAATATCATCATCCTGGATCAGGACCTGATAATGCTGTTGATTCAGTTATGTAGGGTTAAACAAACAGAACCTGTTGTTCAGAATTTAAAAAAAAAGCAAATGCACAGAAGTCAGGAACATCTTATTTCTACCAGGCATTTTTCTTTAATGAAAAGACCAGTCAAGAGATTTTAAGAAAATCAGTATCATTCAAAAGATGTCATTCCTCCACCCAACAATATGAACTGCTTGCATTCTGCTTCATGTTGAACTTTATTCTTAAACATTCCCTTTGCATCTGCAGTTTAATAAGTAACTGAATGTACTCATCTTTCCACCATTTGCACTGAATGTGAGGTTTTTACAGCCTCTTTTGTTTGTCTAGCACAACCCTTCAGGAGGAAATACAAAGACACTTGACACACAAAAGCAATTTCTTATTATGCTAAAAAATTCTTATAAGCTAATTAAATCTGGAGTATGCATATTCTCAAATCTCTGATACAATCATAGATGCGTTTTAAAGTAGTTTGCAGTACTAATTTATTTTGTATGAAACAGTCAACATTTTCTCATCTGTAATCAGTCAAGTTTGACTGGGCAAGAACTTTATATAAACAGGAACATTTAGGACTATAAAAGTTAAAACTGAATTATCTTTAATGCAGTAAGGAAGCTTAAGGTCAGATTTACTTTATAGCATGATTGTCTGCCAAAAAATATAAAAACATAACCTTCTGCATTGTATGCATGAGCACTTTCCAATATTTCAAGATCATAATGCCACTACCAACGGAAGTGGGGATACATTCATCAAAAGCGACTTGATAATTTACAAAGGCAGCATAAAATTGTGGATTTTCAACTGCATAATCTTTAGACAGATAAACAAATTACAGCAGCGCACAAGCAGAAACAATATACACTTGGCTGAGCATTCATTACTGCATGCTATCAGGCATCAACGCAACTCCCTAGCAGTGGGCAACCTTTGGTGTTTTAGGGCTCAGGAAGCATAAAATAACATGATGGTGAGGTAACCGACCATAGCATGATAGATGATGTTGCATGAAAGCTGTTTACAGCCCCATGTCTGTACAATCTGTAACGCCTAGTGTGTAGAGCTGAACATACTGTAGTATGTGCTAATTTGTGCATCCTGCTCTTTTCCTTACAAAGGATCCAAAATACAGATTTACTATCATTTGTTGTTTGAAATAAGAAATAAATCTGTAAGGGCTGAAAAAGTAAATTCTTCAGCTATTTATAACACACAAATAATTAAACAGCACGATGCCTAATAATTTCTTGGCAGTTAGTTATACCAAGGAAATTCTTAGCGCTTTTAATTTATAGTATAACTTAAAACAATTTATTGAACTTATGATCAAGTAGTGTAGTAGTACACTTTTAGTTTCTTAATTGCTACCTTTTTAAAGTTCCAGAGTGTAAACCTTCATAACGGATCTGAAGTCTGTGGGAAGGCAAACAAGGCTTAGTGCACATAAATTGGAAATGACTTAAACCTATTAGGTCATCTTGTCCTTTCCTCCATTAGTTCAGCACTCTTCATGATTTAACATTTTGAGTCCTTTCCTCAAGTTTTACTGGGTCAGAATTTCAAAAGTGGTCCCAAGATGGGTAACAGGAGGTATATTCCCTTCTGATGCAAACAGTCTGAACTCCAATAAAGTTAATAACATTGTACCAATGTATGCCAATTTGCCCCTGTAATTTAGCATTTACTAATTTTAGAGATGTTCAAAATTGCATACCCATAATCTGCAAATGCAAAATTGCAAGTACAAGTTTATAAGATTTTGAAAAATCATCTCTAATCTGAGTAACTAGACTGCTGAGATTTTCCTGTGTAGACTATATCAGACTGTTTGGATTCATGTATACAAATATTCTCTGCTCTTCAACCTTAATTTTCCTTTTTAATGTTGTCCCATTACATCTAGCTATTCGCTCAGCCTGAAATCTCCCTCTTCAGCTGCCGTGTTTATGCACTTCAAACTTGTGTATACACTTGCAGGTCTTCTTATACATAGCTGTTTTTCTTTAAAAAAAATCCTCATTGGTCATCCTTTCCAGGTCCTTATCCTTTGTTCTGAGAGAATTCCACCGATGACTAGAACTATATGCAATACAGCAGATTTTGCCTTATACGTGTTCAAGAGATGCAGAAAAAAATTAAGTTACCTTTTGTTGCTGATAGACTACATACAAAAATAAGGGCCTGTTCATTTTATATTTCTGTACCTTGTTCTTTTTTGGCAACTCTGATTTCCCAACATTATCCTCTTACTGAATGCTAGGATTTCAGATTATTTATAAGTTATAAGGATCATATTAAAAAAAATATGACATTCCCTTATCTGAGTGGGACAGGAGTGGAACAGACCAGGGTCTGCACTGGGGACACCAGTGACCCGGGACTGCATACCTCCCTGGCCTGGCCCAGCCTGGTGGGCAGATCCACCACATGCAGCTAAGGGCAGGGCACTGGGGATGTCTGAGCACAGCTGCAGGCACACACACGCCTTCAAAACGTGCCAGGCAGGACCTAGTGCTGGGCAGCTCCTGGGCTGGCAGAGACACCGGGACAGAGGCAGGCATGGCTGGGAAGTACAGTAGGCTGTGGGAGTGCAGGCCTGTGGCTATCACTGACGCACACCTCCAGGGGGTGGGGGCAAAGCAATGGGACCCAGCTCCAAGGACTCTGAGATGCTCTGTGTAGACAGTACTCCACTGCCACTTACCTTGTGGCACTGTTTGGGCAGCTAGCTCTGCCCTGCCCTGCCCTGCTGCTTGCCTGGCCATCTCTGAGCTCGCCCACTCTGTGGACTGTCAACACAAAGGATGGTGAGTTGGGGGCAGGTGACCCCCCTGCAGTGGCTGTTGCCCCCAAAGATATTAGCCGGAGCCCTGGTTCTTGCCTCATGCCTGCTGCCCCTGCTCAGGGCCAACAGGGTCACCATGAGGGGCAGGTGGAGAAGGCGCTGACTTGAGCCACAGCTATGGCAGGGGTCCCCAGCAAGTGGCACGCTGAGCCCAGAGCTCTCACCCCATGGGAACCATTCGTAGTATGGCTGTGGGGCACCTTGCTGGGCAAGCAGCGGGTCAGGGCAGGGCAGGGCCAGCTGCCTGGGTGGCACCATGAGGTAGGCAGTGTTGGAACACTGTCTTGGAGCCAGATCCCATTGCTTTGCCCCCACCCTATCTCCTCCTTTGGAGGTGTGTCAGGACAGTCCCGGCTCCACGTGCCTGAAGCCCACTGCGCTTCTCAGCAACAACTGCCCCTGTCCCGGTGCTGTCCCAGGGCTCTGCCAGCCCAGGAGCTGCCCAGTGCTCAGCCCTGCCTGACATGTCTTGGGGGCACGTGTGTGGCTGCAGCTGAGCTCAGATGCTCCCAGTGCCCCGATCTTAGCAGCACATGGCAGATCTGCCCATCAGGAGGGGCCAGGCCAGGGGAAGGGGGTGGTCCTGGGTCACTGCTGTCTGGGGGGCATCCCCTGTCTTGTTCTCTGCCTTCCCTGCTCCCCCACACCCCTTTGCCCCACTGACAGCCACCCCAGATCTGAGCCAGCACAGCTGGAGGGAGCTGTGTGGCAGGGGCCTCTGCTCTGCCCACACTGCCTGGCCTGGCTGGTCAGTCCTTAGCCTTGCCCCCTTGCCAGTGACCGGCTGTCAGTGGCAGCAAAGTGGGCGTTGGGTGAGTAAAGGCAGCCTGCTGGGATTCATGTGGGAGTGCCCTCAACCTGCTGGCTTCAGTCATTGCAGGCAGCGTGAATGTTCACGTTCCTCTCCCCCACCCCTCCCCATGGGAAAATGTCTGTTCCGTTTGCTCTTGACCTAACTTTGGGTGCTTAGAGTACAGCACACAGACAAGGTTCCTTGGGTGAATCTGATATCTTTTATTAGACCAACCCAAATAGTTGGAGAATAGTTGTTAAGCAAGCTTTTGGGTTCAAAAACCCTTTGTCAGGCTACGACTATTTGGGTTGGTTTAATAAAAGATATCAGATTCACCCAAGGAACCTTGTCTTCCTATGTCCTTAGACCAACATGGCTACAACTACACCCCTAGAGTACAGCACAAAACTTAGGCTGCTTCTGCCTTGGGCTTTTTGAATGCCTTGATTTAGCCCTTGTGCATCAAGAAGAGGGATCTCCATCTTTGCTCCCCAAAGTCCATTAGGGTTGGAGTTCTAGGAATCTCTGACATTTCTGTAGCTGCACAAACATACTGTTCTAGGTCTTTGCCTGCATTAGTCAAAAGAGGAGGTATATTCTAGCCCATGGCCTGTTCGCAAGTCACAGAAATAAATTCTATTCTTCAGTCTTTGTGATGGCTCCAGTTTTGTGTACTGACAAGTTCACCCTGAATAAAAGTTTTGGGAAAAGTTTAATGTGTCCATGTAAAAACGTCTTATAGGTTAATATGTGAGTGGAAGTGCCTTAGAAACCTGAGCAGTTGTGGAAAGAATGCCCTCAGCTGTTCACTGAGTTATCTGTTAATTGTAATTATATAACTTACTGCAAAACAAATGCTCTAAACATGATACAAAACACACTGATGAGAGAGAGAGAATGAGAGAAGGTTATAAACTTTAAGAAGCTAAGCTCAGAATGTTTCATTTTGTTACATACCCACTGAAGCTACAACATTAAGCAAACTGCATAAGGATTTTTTTCAAGCATTACCTCGTGCAATTCACACGTTAAAAAATGTGTTCACATACAGGAAGCACAGATACATGCATAACTCTTAGTAGGATAAGACATTGTGTGGAGAAACAAACCAGATACTTAGGTGTGGCAAGTCTGATATGCACTGCAATCCTGCAATAAAGCCAGTTTAAATAACCCAAAGAGTGCAAAGAGACTCTTCCATGTTCCTTACACCCGCCGTATGCACAGCAGGAATACGAAGGTGTGGTCATCCAAGGTAGGAGGCACCACTGGGATGCTCCTCTGCCACAAGGATTCCCTACTGTGGTTTTGGTACTTTGGGACTAATTGACATCCTGTGTCAATTGGGACACCTCTCAGGTTGTTATAACCTGACCCAGAGACCAACCTTACAGTTTTACATATTACAGTTACTGGATCAGAATGCAAAGCCTCCTTTTACACCCTGTCCTGAAGTGAAATGTGGTGTGTGTAATATGGTGACCAGGCTCAGTTTTTCTACAGAAAAAATGGAGAGGGGAAAGGACAAAAAAGAAAAAAATAGAAGTCTTCAGCATGCTGACAGGTATTATTAAATTAGGATTACAATTAAGCATTGAGATTAAGGAACTCTATATCTCATAGGGATGTTGTAAAACTTAATGGTATAATATTTGTAAAACACTAAGCTCCTCAGAAAGAAGTGAGAAATACAGATATAAATGTAATTATTCTGTTGGTGTTTCTGTCCTCAACTTTTGCTCTGGACAATTAAGAACCTGGGGACAGGCAGGATGTCAAATGGAAAAATAACTTTGTTGCAGATATGAACAGATTGATGACATGACTGTACTTACTTTTAGAATCAGTTCCTTGGCTGAATGCGACATTAGAATCCTGTCACACCAAGCTGGACATCTAGTATTCATGTACTGCTTTCCTTGGCTACAGTCTTCACTGTATGGGTAACTGAAAAAGAATAGAGAGTAACATTTGTTAGCAAGCATCCTGACTTTTTAACATTGTGCAAGGCAGCTTGAGCAGCCACTGGCTCAATTCACATACTTTTAAACTTGCAAAAATGATGTCCTATCCCCTCCCCACCCCGAAATGCACCTATTTGCTTACTCCTCCCTCCCTCAACCCTGACAAACACTCCCAGATTTATATAGCCCAATGCTGGAAGGTGCTGAGCACTTCTTCAATGCTTTTAGCTCTCACTGATTTCAATAAGTATGAAGAATGCTTACACCTCAGTGGCCCTTAATTAATAAACATTTATGATTTTATAATCTTTTTTGAAATGCACTTTTGCTGTATGCCTATTTTGTCTCATCCCTAAAAAACCCACTTCAGTCTAAAATTTTAGCACATGCTCAGCTTCAAAACTTTATTTAAACTCAACTCCATGTAAATTTCAAAGCACCATGCTCTCTCACCTTTTGCTTGGTCTGTTAGAGAAAACAGCACTATTATCTTTGGAGATGGTTGAAATCTTATCTTTAGAGATGGACTAAATCAAGAATAAGTCTTTTAACACAGTGGATCATTACATACAAGGGGACAGACCAACAGGGGATGGCATAGGGAAGTACCCAGGAAACCGAGGCTCAGATCACTGAATTTCCTTTACATGATTCCTTCAGGGGAGATCTATTTAATGAATTACACAGGTGACAAGTTAAGAGGCTTGGAGCCTTTCAGAGGTTTAAGGCTTCACTGGGATACAAAAGTGTATACATTATTCAGTGGTACTGGCAGGTGAGGTATGGCTCTCTTTCCATGGTATCTGATGGCTCAAGGGGAAGGGAGGTTATGGAAGGGAAACACTTATTATACAGGGACAATTTTTCATGGAAGAAAAATGAAAATGAGAAGGGCAACAAAATTAACACAATCCTAAAAAATGGTTACTTTATATTACTGTATTTACTCAAATCTAAGATAAGGTTTTGTTTCTCCATTCAACATGGGGGGAAAACCCCTTGTCTTAGATTTGAGTACAAACAAGGGGAGGGACAGTGACTACAGGGTCAGAATTGGAGCCGCAGCCACTGTCCCCCCCCCTCCGCCAGGTTCTGCTTCCTACCTCTACCAACTCACATGAGGCTACAGAATTGAAATCATTTAAGGTACTTGAGCTAATAGGCCCTAGTTTAACTGTCAGGAGGCTAAATCAGAACATTTTCAGTGAAGTATACTTGGCAATGAAATGTCCCTGTTTCTTTTGATTGGTCCAAGCCTTAGATTTGTTGATCTCCAAAGTCATGCTTGTTCTCCTAAGCTGTTTCCCAATGGGATGGAATGAACAGCAGAATGGGGTGTTATCAGAGAAATCCAGAGGGATCTGGGAGAGCTCGCTTTGCTGAACATTGGTCCTAAATTACTGCTATATATTTTTATAAATAACTGCCTGATAGATGTATTTATAAGTCTCTGAATAAGAACAATGGATGGGTGCATTTAAGAATAAATATATTAATATAAATAAGGAGGTTTGTATTTTATTCTGCTTATTACTGAATTCATAAAGGAATTATGGAGGTTTTCAAGACATGGTTTTTAAAAATAAGATTTCTGGGATTGTAGCAAAAAAAAAAAGCTTTCACGCTTGAAGAGAAACTTATTTACCACCCTACTTGGTGTGATATTATAAAACTGAGATGCATAGCTTTCTAAAAAATGGGTTTACAAGCTACATTGCCATTAAAAAGATTAGCCATGGCAAACAGCCAAGTAAAGTGTACTGAATGTATTGGAACAAACCAGTGATCTCAGTACCTTTTCCACCTCATCAAACCTAACAAGACTCATTTTCAAAACATATTATGAGAATTCAATTTGCTGCTTCACTGCCATACAGAAGTACAGCTTATTTCTGAGTGTCCATGGGATGTTTTGATGCTGTAATACTATTGGTAGCAGAATATCTTTGTCTGCATTTTAAGGGTTGACTTTTTCTGGTAACCTATTAACGTATCTTTTACTTTAGTTCCACAAGAATCCAACGTAACAAACACTATTTTTTATTCGGGAAGTTGTATGAATCAATCTCATTCCATATCGCCTACTCTTTTACTGTATTCACTCTGTGGCTTTTAAAGTGTTATGATCAGCCAATATTAAATGTTGCTGTATTTCATTCAAGAGTCTATAGTCTGTAAAATGGATATTTATCAATTTGCTTTATTGATCTCAATATTTTCACAGGGTGAGGATCTCTGGCAATTCCCTAGGGTCCTTAATACTGAAGACCCCATAAAAAATTGCTCACAGTTTAGAAGGGGCTTTGACAAACAGAATCAATGTCTTGCATCAACGTCTGAAACTAACTTGCTGAGATTAGCAATTAAACTAATACTGTACTTGCTGCACAGCCATGGTCTCCCGTAGGCCACAGTTTCACCCAAATCAGGCTGAGGCTAATCCTCCCCAGGCTGTGCGGAAGAGGAAGGAATTTGAACTTCAGGTATGGGGGATACTAGCACTGAGTTGTGCTGTTTAACAAGTGTCTTGTGATTCACCTCTCTCACCCCTGTCCATTTGCCAGCCCATGCTAGCGCCACTTGCCATACATTGCTGAGACAGGAATAAAACTGGTAACTAAGGGCAGTTTTACACATGCTCTGGGGGTGGGAGCCAGAGCTGCTCTAATTAAAACGCTGCAACATCATGTGTATTAGGGTTTGAAGAGCTTTAGTTCAAGCGCCCCTGCCACCATTTTCATAGATTTCATAGACATCAGGGCTGGAAGGGACCTCGGAAGATCATCGAGTCCAGCCCCCCGCCCAAAGGGCAGGAAGTCAGCTGGGGTCATAGGATCCCAGCAAGATAAGCATCCAGTTTCATCTTGAAGGTGTTCAATGAAGGCGCTTGAACCACCTCCGGTGACAGGCTGTTCCAGACCTTGGGGGCTCGGACAGTAAAGAAGTTCTTCCTTATGTCCAGCCTGAAACGATCTTGAAGTAGTTTGTGACCATTCGACCTCGTCATCCCTTGGGGCGCTCTGGTGAACAAACGGTCCCCCAGATGCTGGTGGTCACCCCTGATAAACTTGTAGGTGGCCATCAGATCACCCCTGAGCCTGCGCTTTTTCAGGCTAAAGAGCCCCAGGGCTCTCAGCCTGTCATCGTAGAGTCTGCTTCCCTGACCTCTGATCATGCGCGTGGCTCTTCTCTGGACTCTCTCAAGCTTCTCCACATCCTTTTTGAATTGTGGAGCCCAAAACTGGACACAGTACTCCAGCTGCGGCCTCACTAAGGCCGAGTACAGGGGGAGAATGACGTCCCGGGATTTGCTTGAGAGACGTCCCGGGATTTGCTTGAGACGTCCCGGGATTTGCTTGAGATCATCGAGTCTGACCCCCTGCATAGGCAGGGAAGAGTGCTGGGTG